AGCTTTTAGCTTTATTTACATTGGATGGTTTTTCCTTGGAAGCAGAGAAGTTCACAGCGTTTCTCTGCTATAATGGCTGCGAACGCCGACCGAAGGGAGGCGTGAGCATTGCTGTGAGTTCAGAAATATTTTTAGACTTCTGGGACTTTCTGCCTTGTATATTTACGAACCTTACACATGAAAAAAGAAAAACATCAAGAAGATGGCTTAGTCAGGCCCCCAGCGAGCGCCGACCGAAGGGAGGCGTGAGCATTGTCTTCGATTTAAAAATCACGAAAGCGCGTTCAATAGCGCAGATCCAGGTTATTAAAGTCAAGGGACCGAGCGAGTGGAGACGAGCGTTACGTTGTATAATAGAGATAAAGTTAGATACTTTAGTTCGGTATTTTAATTTTAATTTTAATTTTATTTAAATTTTAAAATTTAAATAAAATTAAAATTAAAATACGGAACTAAAGTATCTAACTTTATCTCTATTAAATATTTTATATGCAATGCTTGTGTAAAGTCAAAGATAATATACGAATGCTAACTCTCAGTCGCACTTTTCTGGTTGAGATAAGTGAGTTAAATAATTTGCAAGTTTTCCCTCTACTCACTCTTTGAAAACGTTTATGAGTTCATGCAGTAGAATGTCTTTACAACAAAACGTGTATTTAATTTCCTTACTGAGGCTTACGAGGGAACCGATTTAACTGCCAAATTATTTTTTCAATGAAACCTAGTGGATTAAAGGTTATCGACTATGCTGATTCCGTATAAGAGCATGGCAGTTATCTATAGGTCTCCAGCGATCCTGTTTTTGGAAAACCAGTTTTTCAGAAACTCTAAAAAACAATCGAAACCTTTCCTACTGAGGCACAATTGTAGCCCGCACATTTTTGATTAAAATAAGACATCTCTCAGCTCTACACGACCTTTCTTTACAAAGTTAGAGAACTTACAAGAAAAGCCCGAAATCAATTTGTTCTTATTTCTGTAGCTTTGAGCTGACAATGAACATTTAGGGCTTTTCTTGTAAATCTGAAGATCTCTAGAAGGTTACTCTATGGATCTTCAGAACGCCTTTCTTAAAACTGACGTTTTTAGTGAAGATTCGAGAGACGTAAATTTCGATATAATTTTTATTATCGTCATCAAACAACAATGTTTTTAGCATAGAAAAGGAACTTAAAACTATCAGCAACAACTAAACTGGAACAAAGATAATTGTCAGACAGTTTCAAACAAAGATATTTTTTTATAAAGTTGTATTTGTTTTTTTTGTCAATGTGAGGTAATAAAAAGTAATTTTAATGCTTCAGCATATGTTTATTCATCCTGATGTGAACGAAGAGAACGGTCTTGAATGTTTTTTATACATATCGTGTACAACAAGGTTTAAGGGCTCTGCCCCGTTTGTGTACTTCGACGCCCGATCCTGTCTCGACCTTAGACATATCTGAACCATTCTTCAGTACGAGCCAACTAGAATACGATCGTCGAAGTTCCTGTCCAGAGCCAAAGGATTATAAGGAAATAAAAATAACAGAATTATCAATGCGATCATTTAACTGTTGGAGCGGTTATTAAAAGACTTTGAAAGCAGGAGTACGACTATCTATAAGAGCAAATTTATTGATTATATGTTCTACTGATAAAAGAGATTGTTTTTAGTTGAATACTGATCTCTTTTAATGTGAGTTATAATCTCCAATTTTCCTTCGAACAAAAGCCAAATAAAAAACACTTCAGAAGTAAATAAGAGTTCTTTCTTTCGACATTGTCTGAAATAACATGCGTCAAGCACTATTATTACAGAACTGAGCTACATCCTCCACATTTGGTACTACAATCTCTGCTTCTGCAACAGTTGCCATTTCCTTTGATTTGGTAATCAATTGTGCCAAATCATTATCACTGACTAGAATACATTCTGTTTGTCCATGAAAATCACTGTTACTAAACCTCTTGAACAAATTTTTTTCTTTTGCTTGTTCTTTCCACCAGTTTTCAATTCTGGTCATTGTAATTAATTTTCCACGTAAACTCAACAAGAGTTTCATTTGGTAATTTTTCAGTTCTGATCTAGGATATCTTTTCAAAGCATTCTCATGCTGAGTGCGGCCAAATTTAATCAGGGACATTTCAGTTTTGCCTTTTGCTTCTATCCGTGGATCAACAAGAGAAAATATATAGAATGTATTTGGTACGTCCGCTGTCCATTTCAATCTTTCATCCGAGAATCGATTCATATTGTTCCGGTGATGAAGTACGCAGGACGGACAGTAATAATCGTCTGTCAAGCATTGTATGGGTGGCGGCTTCCACGTTCGTGCACATTCGGGATCACAGCATTCATGTGCTATTCCTTTATGCATGCCTTCCCATTTTCCAGTTCGCCTGAATCTACCATCTTTCTTTCCTAACAAGAACTTATCGTACTAGAGAAAAAAACAGAGAAAGATAAATCTAATGACGCTTCCTCATAAAAATTTACATCATAACTACCTCGTCCACTGTCATTTCTATTTTTTGCTTTTTAAAGCTGGACAAGCCACAGACATCTTCATTTACTTCTACCTCCTCCACAATTTTGCTTCGTTTTCTGTTCATTGCAGTTCGTTAAAATAATGAGGATCGCGTTTTATTTGTAACTGAGTTACAGACTTTATGGTAATTACTAATCAAAAAAAAATGATAAAATCTAAGTTTTTCAAATATTCTTATTATGTGAATGACAAAATAAAATATATTTGTGAGTAAATGAATCTGTTACGCACGAATAATTTACATCATAACACATTAGGAAGAAGTGTAAGCAATACTGGCGTTACCTCGTGGTTGTGAAACTTGCCACGTCATTGTTTCTCATTAAAAACAGTGCTTGAAAAAAATAGAAACGAGGTTGTTCTGTTTTCTTTCTTTCTTCAACAATAACCTATGTATTATCGTGTTTTTCGATTACTTCTTATTTTCGTTGCCTTTTCTCTTCTAGAATTATTACAAGAGTTTGCCGATTATTTCTCGTAAACTATTTTCTATAGTTAACCAAGGACAAAAGAAATATATAAAAATGAGTGCTATACGCGGTCGAAAACACGAAACTCTTGTAATAATTCAAAGAAGAGAAAAAGCAGCAGAAGTAAGAAGTAATTGAAGAACACGAAAATGTGTAGAAAAACAAGAAAGAAAACAGAATGACCTATTTTTTAAACATTTATGATGAGAAACACGATGATGGAGCAAGTTGATCCTCTTATCATTTTAGCGAACTGCCAAGAAAAGAAAAAAAAACCAAGATTGTGCAAGAGATAAAGAGAAAGCTCTGTAATAGTAGTGCCTGACTCATGTCACGATAAGTCTCTCTGTTTGTCAAGATAATCCTGAGACAAAAAGCTCTTATTTCAAAATGCTTTTTTTATTGCTATCTAAAGCAGAACTTCGTTTTCATGGGTTTGTTTGCTTTGAAATAGAATTATACATTACTGATTTGCAATCATGTATCTAAATAACTTTGCTGAAATTCCATTTCAGATCTGGGGAAATCAAGATTGACTTTGAAAAAAGTTTTTCCGGTTTCCTGACTATATCGTAATTTTGACCATCTATTGAGTCATTTTAGTTAGAATTGTAGGTTCTTCACAAATTTTTATTTTTAAATATTCGCTCAGTTGTGTTTCTTGTTAGTTGCATAATGGTAATTTTGTAATCCAGTGATTTTCCTCGTTGGCTTCTTTGAATTCGACTGATTGAATTCGAAATATACTAGTCAAATAAAACAAAATTCCGTGTTCATCCTGCATTCTACTAATATTGCTTATGTCCACAAATGGTTCTGTTCCAGTACTTGAGGTATCAATTCGTACTTCAAATAAGACTGATTCATAAGTTGGATGATGTTCATCATCATCAGCAAGGAAACAGCAACATTCTTTTGGCTTGTCGTTGATAAAAAAGTATTTATTGAGATTAAACTGCCCAAATTGTTCTGTAGTTTTTTTAATTCTTCAACATTCGTTTCTGGCCTACGATACACAAAAAGTTCGTCACCGATAATACTAATATCCTAATATCTAGCATAAATTTTACATACAATTGTTTCAATGCATAATAAAGATCGCGTAGAAAAAAGCGAAACTTGTAAATAAATACAATGTTCTGTGTACGAACCACTGTATTAAACAAACGGAATAAAAATAAATCTTGTGTATACTATCTAACAGCATCTGAGAGACGAATAATTTTGTTCGAAATCGTCAATTTTTGCCAGTTCTATTTTATCTACAAGCCAAGCGTTACTACGACGATTACGGTGAGAGTTTGTCAAATTGACTAATAAAGCTACGCGCGAGTGCAACAGAGTGAAGAATACAGATTTTGAAAGGAAATACTTCGGCCTATGTTTTTATCTGAAAATCTCAATATCGCTAGTTCAACAAAAAAATGAGCTCCGGGAATAAAGGGTTCCTAAGTAAACGTATTCCTGTAAATGGGGTCCTATGGTAAATTCCAAAAAAGGTCTTTCTTTAGAGTGTTTCAGACCTTTTTGATTTATTACTTTTTGAGAAGAGATATAATTGATATTATGGTAATATCAGGTTTGAAATCAGTACACCGAATATAGCAGCGTCTTACTGTGTGTCTCAGAAGTAACAAAAGCGTACAAAAAACTAGCGAATGAAGTGAAAACATTTTATATGAATAATGTCCGCCCTAGAGAATACACGATTTTGATATGTATGGAACAATGGCGTAACTGCGGACGGGAGAGGTTGGATCATAGCCCAATGCGATTTGAGCCTTAGCCGAATAAGATTTTGACCGTTGTGATTTTTCCAACAAACGTTGATAAAAGTTTGTTTGGCCCAATATTTTCTCGAATTATTGTAGTGTGACTTATAGTTCTCAGAGAACAATTTATTTTTTATGTTAACCTGTCAACAAAGTTCCTAAACCACTGAACTGGTTCTAGCAATAAAAGAGAAGAAGCATCAGAAACATAAACATTTGCTGACCATGATGCTTTTGAAAAATCAAAACTTTCTTCAAACTGACTTATGAAACTCGAACCAGACACTCTTTATGTGATTCTATTCGCTTTGTCGGGATACTAAGTAAACCCATATTGGATATTAGTTTTCTTAACCGTACGTTGACTGAACATTTCGACGAAAAGCTACCCTTATTTGTTAAATGATAGTTTAGTTGGACGTTTTTTAGCTTATACTCTTCGTTCTATAGTGGGAAAAAAACAGTTATGTTTCCAAATAAAACAGTGTATAACACAGTAGACACAATTTAGATTATTTTATACACAACTTGTATAAATTTAGTATGTAATTAATTATACATAACTGTTTATCAATTAATAGAGAGAGCATCACTGTTCAATTGATATAGAACACGGTCATTATATGAAGAAAAAATAATTCCGTAGTTTCTTTATCTAATTGTTCATTTCTAAGCATGCACCGGTTATAACCGATAAATTTCACCTTTTTTTTGCAACGGATTGCATAAAAAGTACGCACATTAAAATTTTCTGTGCCAAACAGTGTCGCTCAAAAAACCTTTCTCTTAGTTGTTAGATACATTCATTTGTTAAACCCTTTCTGCTATTCTTGTGATCATTAAATGATCCATCGAGGGATCACGTCAAAATAAATTCCGGCTGGTCGTCATTCTGCCAGTATTCCTCTACTACCCTACTCCACTCGGCTGTTATTCTTGGATTACATTAGCTCGGATGTTTAATCTTTATTGCTCAAAATTTTATTTTAATGATTTCTTATATTGAATACCATTCTTTTTCTTCTGATCTTGTTTTGTTCTGTTCGAATTTATTTTTTCTGCTCACTCGTATTTTATGTGTATAGAACATCTTTTCTTTCGAAACAAGAAATACGAAAAGAAGAAATTTTCATTTTTATCGATGTTCAATACATTGAATATCAGGAGGAAAAGAGTCAGTGGATGAAAGTTTCTTTGCTTAATTGCAGTGTTTCTCATCCATCAAGGAGAAAAATTCAGCGAAAGAGGGCATATATATAATCACTTACTGATTCTGAGGTATATCACCATCTGGTTAATATCGAGTTTTTTCCGCGAAGACGGGTGAGAAACACAAAAATTACAGAAGCTTCGTGCACTGACTCTTTTTACTCCTTTCTTCACTTTTACATTCTATAGTAAAGACGTGTTCTTCTTTCTTGTTTTACTTACTATAGTTGATATATACACGTGCTTCTTATCTCTTTTTTATCTTTTACTGTACTATGAGTACAGAAATTGATAACAATAGTAGAGCTTCTAACCCTACTAGTAGTCTAGTAGTCAATCCAGGGGGCCAGAATTTAGACCTGTATGATATTACTGATGATCAGGATGATTTTCAGACGCAATTATCATATAGAGAAAAACAGAAATTGAAACGACAGAGACATGATCAAAATAGTGATGAACTATCAAGCTTTACACCTAAACGTAATCGAAATGACAATAACAATAATAATAATAATAACGATATTCTTCAACAAAGAATAAATGAAAATATAAATAATAATCAATATGCAACTTCATCTTACTTCAACACAAATCAGATTTATCGTAAACTTGGAAATGAGTTATCGGGTCAAAAAAAACAACAGCGTGTGTCTTTTCCACCCTTTTATATCGAATTTAAAGAGGAAAGTAAATTTCCACATAATGACGTCAGTATCATTAAAGATATAAATCGTAAATGTAAGATAAATTTAACGTACGGACGTCCTGTTGTAATAAAGCAAGAAAAATGTTATCTATTATATGCAGATACGACGACACAATTTGATTTTCTATTAAATATACAAAATTGGCCGGATAGAATTTGTGACAGTCAATATGTAGTTGAACTGCCAAGAAAAATTCCTTTTTCGTATTCTATCGTTGTTAAAAACATTCCGGCTCAATGGAATGTTGTTGGCTTTGGGGAAGAACTTAAACAAAGGTATTCAACAATTGTTAGAGCTGAAAGGCTTTTTATCAACGGAGGTCGACCAATTTCTAAAGTCCGTGTGGACTTTTCATCCAACAAAGAATTAACTGAAATACTTAAAATGAAACGTATATTGTTGGATGATGATTATACGTCGTATCAGATTGAACCTTATGTGCCACCAACTCGTATTTTACGTTGTTATGTTTGTCAAGCGTATGATGATCACATAGCTGCCTACTGTCCAAATAAAATCCCATATGTTTCAAATGTGGACAGAACCATGTTTATGATCGAAATTGTCAAAATGAAATACGATGTGCACATTGTCAAGGGGGACATATGGCAGGAAATCCAAGTTGTCCAGTGAAAATTGAAAGACGTCAAGTAAAGATTCAACAAAACAAACCCTCCAATGTTAACCAGTCTTCAGTACGACAACAGCAAGGTGTTTGGGTTAATATGCCCGGTCGATTACTTTTTAGTGATGCTCCAAGGACACCGTCGATGAATCAAAATACTAAGTACGGAAAAGAAGAAAGGGATATGATTGAAAAAATAAACGATACAACAATGGCAATTATGCAGAATCAGAAGGATCTTCATGAACAATTTATGGTGTTGAATGAAAAAATGGTAAATCATGTGAACCTTATTAATGATATTATATGCCCATTGATTAGAGAAATTTCGAATATCATATATGGTCAAGTCAAAGGTCAAAATAAACAAAAGATAACTCCGTTATACAATAAGCTAGTGAACTATATGGGGAAAAGTAACATTAGTCAAGTCAGTAATGAGAATGCAAATGTTCAACGATCAAACGATGAAAATATCAATTCATTAGCAACATGAACCCGGGTGCTAAAGAATTTAAACCATTCCAGAATGAACCATTAGTTATTCAAGCGGATCATTTATCAAATAATCAAGTAAAAATTTTTCAAAAACTTATTTTTGAATGGACTTCAGCGGGCACATTGAACGATGTGCTGTATGAGTGAGATGAAAGAAGAAAACGTACACTAGATATGATGAACATAAAGAGTGATGTATCTATGATGTTGCTAAATGTCAGTAGTTTAAATGCAAATCTGTGTAATGTTTTTAATCTTTTGAACTCTATAAACACTTCGATCATCGTCTTAAACGGTACGCATCATGACGATGTTTCTGTAAAATTGTTTTCTAAGCATTTTCGCAATTATCAGGTTTTCTCACAAAAAGGAACTAACGCTTTTGGCGGAGTGTTAATAGCAGTTCATCGTTCTATTGTTGTACAACGGGTTTTAAATTTCGATAAATTTTTAAATGTTATTGTTTTGGATATAGGGTCATCTTCTGATAAGTTTCAATTAGTAACGTGTTACTCTCCACCAAGCGAGACTCTTCCAATACTTCTTTTTAACGAAGTTTTGCAACGTAATCCTAAAACTGTCTTTCTTGGTGACTTAAATGCAAATCATTCTTCCTGGTCCAAAGCTGTTGATAACCAAAAAGGTCGTATACTTGCTAACTGGCTTTCTGTTAACTCCTTTGAAATTATTAATAAACATATTCCAACCTCTACTAGATCAAATGGAACGATAGATCTTATCTTTGTACCTTCTTCCATGTTTTCGTGTTCTTTCTCAGTTCTTCCCTCTATAGGTAGCGATCATTTTCCTGTTGTATGGACATCGAGAATACAATTATTAAAGAAAGATAGATTTTATCCGGTGAAGCGAACGTATTGGTCGTTGTTTGAGCTTTTTCTCACTTTTACCTCGACGTTTTGGAATAATCTGTGCTCAGAAATGGTAGATAAGGTTAAATTGTTTTGGTTATATGAACGCTTTCTGTCTTTAGCTTCGTCACGTTTAACTTTTGTTTCTTACTGTAATGCGTACAGGCCATCTATACCTCCTCACGTCGTAAATCTTATAAAAGAAAAACAATTTTATTTAAGTCTTGCTCGAAGAACAAGACATCCATTTTTTATCAGTCAGTTAAGAATATATACTAAGACAATAAAGAGTGAACTATTTATTCATAGAAGAAAATCGTGGAATGATTATTGCAAAACATTTAGCGACTGCGACATAAAATGTTTTTGGAAAAAGGCAAAACGGCATTTCTCCGCCGCATCACCACCTATTCAAGGTTTCTTATCAAATAACAGGGTAGTCGCCTCGTCTAATGAGATGTGTGAGTTCGCAAAAAAACTTCTATGAAGAGCAATTTTCTGCTCATGTTGACACTGGCTCGGCAGTGGAAATGGAAGCAGACATTGTTGATCAGAAATTGGAGTATGAAATTCAAAATTGTCCTCCAAATAGTTTTCCTATTACTGTTAGACATATTAGAAGTGCAATTTCGTCAGTTAAAAATAAAAATTCATCTGGTTTAGATGGAGTATCTAATAAAATGATTAAATTGTTACCACAATCTCATCTTCCACTTATCTATCTTTCTTTTATTTTCTTTGCGTCGCGCCTAATTTTTCCTACTCATTGGTTAACAGCACGAATTATTTTATTGTCTAAAACAAAAACCAACGTTGTAAATATCAACGATACACGTCCTATTTCCTTGCTTCCATGTTTCTCTAAACTGTATGAAAAAATATTCCTTATTCACTTTCGCCAATGGGTTCATGATTCTGGGATTCTTCCCGATGAACAAACTGGTTTTCGCCCAGGTCACAATATGGCTGTTCGTCTTGTTGCTATCATTGACCAAATTGGTCAAAGTTTATCTTTGAACACAGCTGCGGCCGCCCTATATGTCGACTTTAAAGCTGCTTTCAACCAGCTCTGGTATAAGGGACTGTGGCTCAAGCTTGAACGTTTGGGGTGTCCTTTATACATGGTTGCTTGGTTACGTAAATATTTATCAGGGCGAACAGCCTATATTGAAATCAAGAATTTTAAATCAGCTACTTTTTCTCTGTTTAAGGGTGTTCCCCAAGGATCGTGTATAGGTCTGGTATTATTTATCGTATTTCACTTTGATTTGTTAAATTCAATTTCTAATCTTCATTGGAAGCATCTTTTTGCGGATGACTTAACTGTGGTTGTCTCTTCATCAGTACATTGGTCGTCTAAAGTGCTTATTCTGAATCTTAGTAAACATATTACTCAGGTGCTTGAAAGCCT